TATATATGCAGGATTTAATTAAGAAAATTGGCTAATCCCAATTTATAAACATTGTTCTTACTTATTGAATTTATTTATATTTAACACATACATAATGGTATTTACCCTTTCTAAGAAGGCTAGTTGTACATAAAAGTAAATGTATTCCAGTCATACCTTGGTAAACAGCTTTAAATCCAGGTGAGCCAATGCTATCATCAGATTGTAGATGTAACCACATCTGGTTGCTCATACTCACAATAAGATCAGGAACACTGGATCCAGTCAATCTGAACAGATGAGAAATGTTAAAATCATTATTTAAAACAACATGTATATCTACCTTAACCCAGTAGTTCTCCTAGTTAGATGATAATTAAGAGAGTTTATATTTGAATAATATTTCTTCTGATTACCACTGTGAAATAGTGACTGTGTATGTGTGTGGTTTTAAAAGTGAAGTCTTTGTGTAAGTAGCAAGACCCTCCTCCAAATCTCTAGAACCATTTATGTTTATATTTAAATCTCAATATTTTTTGGCAATTGACACTAATCATTCTATAATATAACTGTAAATTTGTATATTTTAGTTTAAAAATCATCTTAGGACAACAAACCATCCAGTTTGCCTGAGAGTTCAGGGCTTCCTGGAGTTCAGGCTTTCAGTGTGAAAACTGGGGCAGCACTGGAAAAACTCAGTTTGTTATCCTACATGGCTAATATGCAAACACAGTGCAACCATTGCTGTGAAGTTGGATCCAACTCATACCGACCCCTCCTTGGGTTTCCGAGGTGGTATCATTGCGGAAGTAGATTGCCCAACCTTCCTTCCTATGTAGCTAATAGATACAAACTATTGTTGTATAGTTATATGAGTATAAAACAAAACAAAACCGAACTCACTGCTGTTGAGTCAATTCTGACTCATAGCGACCCATCCTTGGGTTTATGAGGTGATATCTCTACAGAAATAGATTGCCCTGTCTTCCTTGAGAGGAGGGGCTGGTGGTTTTGAACTGCCAGCCTTCTGTTAGCAGTCAAATACCTTAGGTACTGTGCCACAAGACAGTATTAAAGTGAAAGCATCTTTCAGCTGATAAACTGCTGATTCATTAACAAAATGCTTGGAGTTTTTAGTCTGTAATAGTCAAGTATCTTTTCTTCAAAATCTTTTTAAAAAATTGTATCTAATCATCCATTAAGGAAATAATAAAGAAGAACAGCATGTACAGTTGACATAAGTTTGGCAACATTTACTCAACTTTCTCTCTATATTAATGTACAGGTCATACCAAATGTAAGTTTCAGTTTCAATGAAACATTGTATATCAACAAAACAGTCACAAACAGGCTTCTGTCACCTAGTGAAAAGAAACAGTAAATCCACTGGCAGAACGCAACATACTGACAGAAAAGTATGTTGAAAAAGAAAAACTGTAAGAAAAAAATCAATTCAACCAAAATAAATGTCTCTAATCAAATAGGAAGCTTTGCTTTCAGTAAAGTAGTTTCAGGAATATGAGCACATGATTTGCCCAATCAATCATATGATTTTCTATCAACCCAATATTCTCATCTTAGCAGCAGAGAATACCTGACTCCTCAAACGAAGATGAACAACAGTTATTTTATATGAAGTATGTGTACAAAGTTACAAACAAATTGAAAAAAAGGAAGTATTTCCAAAAATGATGTGCACTAACTAAATACGTATTTTTGTTTGAAGATCTGCCTTTGTCAGATTGTTCTTTTTCATGTGTTGGTTCTGTTTGATTTTTGATTTAATATAGTTTTTTTTTTCCTTCTTTATTCATACACTTTATTGAAATGATACATATTAAAAAGTGCCCACATCATAAATGTCTGAAGCCATGGATTTTCACAAAGTGAATATACTTGTGAAATACCATGTAGATCAACATAAAGAATATTACCAGTAATCTGGGCATCTTTCTTCTGTCACCACTGAGTCACTACCCTCTGCATCCAAATACAGACTCATTTTACCTTTCTTAAAACTTCATATAAATAAAATAATTCGGTGCACAGTCTTTTGCACTACGTTATGTTTGTGACATTTAACGATGTTATCATTTGTAGTTGTATTTAAACTACTTTAATTTATATGTAAATATAAATATATGAAATACATGCAGATATTAAATGTAAATATAAATTAACATAATTCAGATACATTTTTTTGTATTACATAATTGAAGTACAAAAAGTAAAAAAAAACACTGCCATCGATTCTGACTCATAGTGACTCCTTCTTTGGTTTCTGAGGGAGTATCTCTACAGAAGGAGCTGTGGTAATGCAATGCTGCATTAGACTGGGTTCTGTAGAGAAACAAAACCAGTAAAGCTTACATATACAGAGAAAGATAAATTTATCTTAGGAAAATGGCTCACACACTTATAGAAGCTGGCAAGTCCCAAGATCTTGGCTCAAACATCAAGCTGGAGGCTGTTCCTGATTCATGCAGCTGCAGGGTCTGAGGAGCTCAAGGTTGGCAGGTAGTATACTGGCTATTGACTCCAATGAATGATGACTCCCAGATCTCCAGGTCGAATGGTGAATTGTTCGCTCATGGGCAGTTGTAGGCAGCATGACAGATTCCCGAGCCACAGAAGAAGGTATCTTTACCCAGGATGTCCATAAATATACTGGAAGCAGGCCATACCCCTAAGGAAACTACCTTTCAATGGACTGGCTGCTGAAAACATATACATCTGATCCCATCTTGGGAATAACCCACATCAAAATTGCTTAAACCACACAGAATTGTGGTCCAGCCAAGTTTATATACAGCTCCAACTATTATAGTCCACCACTTGTCAACTTGGCAGTTGTACACATCTTCTTAACCATATACAATTCCTAAATAAGGACAATTATAAAGTCATATTTGCATGCTAACACATGTACAACAAAGTGGATTAACCTTATTTATATTTCACAGTTCATAACAGAAGGAAACATAAATAT